AATGTTTGGAGACATTAATCCTCACTGGCAGTTCAACCAGAATCCCGCTAAATCACCTACAAATCATAGGCGTTACCCTGAGCATCTGAGTCAGTTTGCGTTGACTTAAAAAGAGCATTCGAAATCGCGACGCGCCCCCTGCTTCATGCTTCGATTTCTAGATTTTCATGAACCTATACGCCTCCACCTTTCCATTATTGACCCAGCAGAACTGAGAAAACAAAAAATTAGACGTTTAATCGAGCAAATCATTATAATATGTGTCGACTTCCAAGATTAGACCATACTTTGCTGTTCGCATTCTCTCCCCAGCGCAATACCACAAATGTTTACAAAATTCCTATACAAACTGTCAGATCAACCAACCTTTTGGGGTAGCTGGGGATTTCGATGACTTTGATCCGCAGAAGTCGACTATCACATTTCTACCACCGACCTTTGCTTTGGATAACGTTCCGTGAGCCTAAATTGTCAATACAGTCAGTGTTTATCACATTATATCGGAAAATCGAATAAATACCTTTTCGCAAGCGGCTTCATTCCTGAACACTATCCAAGCGAATGACGATCCTCGCCTGTGACGGACAGTTTCGATATCAGCATGTAATTCCTCCAGCTCCTTAGTCTACAAAGAATATTTTTGGACAACTACGCGATCCGCAAATTTAGCACACATCTTGCGCCAATTTTGGCCCCACACTAACGAACTTTAAGACAAACTAAACAAAATGAGGCAAAGCCCACTTAAGAAACACTGATAACACCTTAAGAAGGTCATGCAGCCCATATATACGCTCCAGTAAGCGAACCGCATAGGATTTTGTAGGACATACATATTTTGGCAGGAGATACTCAGTTTGTCTTGTTGTTTTGCTCATGATCGTGTTCAAAAGGCGTGCCTTTGACCATGCGATAAGCCGGTGTCAGGCTTTGTAAATCCACGGCGGATCGCAGGATAGGAGCGTTGCACCAGCGAATCGAGTTGTGTATCAGCGAACCGAACTACGTACGAACGGATCGTACGATACACCAGCAGATCGACGCTGTTTGAAAGTGACAGCACTCTCTCTCTCGTTTGCACGTTGACTCTGAGCTCGGGAAATGGCGAGAGCCAACTTCCAAATTGAGTCTCGCCTTTTCAAACCGTCGAGTCGCTGTACATCGTTCGAGCCGCTGGTGCACAGTTTGACTCGCTGGCGCAACGCTCGTATCCCGCGGTTCGCTAGCGAATTTTGAGCACCTACAGAGTGAATAAATAGGATTCCTATGAAATGAAATCTCATTCTTTCAAGTTGTAGGTCTGGATCGAACAAATAAAGAAATGCTTCACTGAGAAAATACAAGAGTAACATATATATGATAGTAAACAAACTTTGGTATTTTTAGGGAAGCCCTTTATGAACAAAGATCGCTCGTCGCGTTCTTGACGTCGCTTGTTTTCTTCGTCTACGATAGTACTTTGATCCAGCTGAAACAAAATTTCGAGTATGCCGCTATCATTTAACAATGCCTTGAATATTATTCCGAAAACGAAGAGTAAATTAACCTTTATGTGCTTTGAGGGCAAGTCATTAGCAACGGCCTTTCTCTTAACACCTTGTTGAGGTGCTTGCTCCTTGGATAAAACCTGAACAAATGACTGAATTTATCGATTCCCTACCAATTCAACCAAAAAAGAAGCAAAACACGAACCGGAACTTTCTTTTCAGTGACTTTCTTAGCTGGAGCTTCTAATCCATCGGATTTCTTGGGCAGAGATTTTGGAGTAACTTCTTTCTAAATGACTTTATCAGAAAAAGAAAACTGAATTTGTTTAAACGCTCTTGGTGGTCGCCTAACTACTTTCCAACACAATACCGGCATTATTTACTGAATCGCGAAGAATTACATAGGTTATTCATTACCTCTTCTTCGTCCTCGTCCTCTTCTTCATCTTCGTCAACCTCCTCGTCCTCGTCACCACTAGCTTCATCATCAACTTCATCCTCATCCGCCATTTCTTCATCTTCGTCCTCATTCTCTTCATCATCATCACTACTGTCGTCGTCAAAATTCAACGTTGGTTTAAGTGTTTCTTTACCGAGTGCTCCTTTCTTTTGAGGATGAGGAGTCACGGGTACTTTTTTGGAGGAGGTGACAGGAGTCGGCGCAGCAGAAACATCGACCTTCTTCTTAACATCCGTCGATTTTCCACTTTTCAAAGCGCTCTTCCTATCCTCTGCTTGTTTTTGCTTTACGGCAGGCGTACTCATGATAGGTTCAACTTGCTCCTCATCCTCATCGCTCTCTTCATCTTCCTCTTCCTTAAACACTAAATTCAAAAAAACCGAATGAAGCTAGAAATTCATGCCTTACCTCATCGTCCTCGTCCTCCTCATCCTCTTCGTCATCATCATCTTCCTCTTCTTCAACTGCTGGTGTTTTCAACTTTTTCGGGACACTGGCGTTTTTAGGAGCAACTGCTGTAAAATTGAAATTGCAGAAGCTGTATTACAGATGAAACAAAGCAACATGATACTCCCACAGGCCGGTGTCAGACTTTGCGAATTCAGTGATTCGTTACAGATTTAATATTTCATTTTTTTTTGTTAACCGCTGTCGTTTGATCAGGAAAGAAACGGATAAAGATACCTTTGGTGGAACTGGGCTTGGGCACCTCTTGTTCTTCATCATCGCTATCCTCTTCTTCATCCTCATCTCCACTGACTTCTTCGTCTTCGTCTTCCTCATCGTCATCATCAGATTCTTCTACCGCAACATTTTTCTTGGACCCAACACTAGTTTTTGGAACGACGCTAGGTTGTTTCTTCGTGACGACTGCTGGCTGCTCATCTTCTGAATTGCTCAAAAAAGTTACTACATTTGACATTCTGATATAGAGTAGATAGCGTTTCTTGAGACCCGTTCTTTTACCCATCGGTGACAAATCAACGAACAACACCTACAGTACCATAGTATTGCGCACACTCCAAAATTCTAGCGACAATATATTAACCAGAAACACGTATAACAATCTTGGCAGCCAGGTCTCTGCACATCGTTCACAAGGAGTGTTCTGGTGAAAGTGCTTGAAGTCATTCCTCTTATGTGAAGCTTACTATTTTCCAATCTACGAGGGTAGCTTTTCGCTAACAAATAGCTCTCAGTTTTTATCAAACCAACGCAGGGTTTTTGCGAGAGCCTGCCGTGGCGTGTCAGCTGGATTCCGCTCCTCAAATAACGTAGAACATTCACGTGCACACTCACGAATTCAATAAGTTATTGCTTAAAGAGGGCTGGAGTGGTGTAGTGGCAAGTGGCACGCTTACCACGCGCGGTCCGGGATCAAATCCTGGGTCGTGAGTCGCCCGGGCCAACCAAGCCTTCCATCCCTCCGGGGTCGGTTAATTGGTACCAGACTTGTCTGGGAGGATAAAAACACTGACTTGTACATCGGCTGGCCCCCGCAAGTCATTGTATAGGCCACATCGCATTCAAACGCCACTACGAATGTACAAATGGAAGTAGAATGCGTGCCGCATCCCAAAAAGGGATTGATCAACGGCAAATGCTTTATCCTTTATCGTAATCGTCTTGAGGAAAAATTCAGGTACAAAAAACAAGATGGCCAATGAGTAGTCAGTCACTTCTATAGTTTTAGATATCCTCTTTCGAAGAAATACACAAGTACCTCTAGGATTTCGAAAGCTTACCAGTGGGGTGAAAGTAAATCTGAAGAAGTCTATAACCTACCATCCTCACTTTCCTCGTCCTCCTCCTCATCTTCATCTTCCCCTTCATCCTCATCTATTTCATCGGAGTCCTCTTCCTGTACTTCCTTAAAAAACAATTTGAAAAATCAGTGCAACGCTCAGAAAACAGGATTAAAATACTGTTTGGACCGACAAGTGAACGAACCTGTGTGGATTTCCCCTTAAATTTCTTCTTGTCGTTGACGGGAGCTACCATCTCTTCATCTTCATCATCATCATCATCTGACTCCTCATGTTTCGCCTGAAAACCAAACTGCAACACAAGCAAGGCTGTAGCAACTATGCAAAAGATCAAGTTACACTAAAGATAGATCTCACCCGTTTCGGTGTGGGCTTGGCATGCACAGGAGTATTTGATGTAGATTTTGCCTTCTTCACTTTGTGGCTGTCTGAATGTACAACGATGAACTTCAACAAACAACGTCGCCGTTATTGAAATACCTTCAGCAAGACCACCATTGTATGAGTTTACAGTTTTTGCCTACACAAAGGAAACGTACAACAGCTCAAGCCAAGAGCGGAAAAGAATATATGGAATGGTGGCGATAAAGCAGCATTCACTGGCCATATCAATAAAACAGTTGACGATTCAGCTAATGATCTGGTACACAATGGAGACCACTCCCCGCCAAGCTAGACATTGACTGCTCACTTCTGCGCCTTGAAACGTGGAACATTACCCCGACACGGATGTGTATTTGGTTTCTTTTTATAAGATGTCTTGAAGTTACCATCAAGAGGAGGACCATCGACTACTTCATATAATAGACGCGAGCGAATGTGGAATGTAAAGAAAGTGACAACTCACTTATGTTAATATCATCTTCTTCATCGTTTTCAAAGACCTTCCTCTTCTCGCTGAACGATCCGCGCGCACCTCTTCCTGCTCCTCGGAAATCTGACGAGCCTCGACCACCTCTCGGTGTGAAACCCCTTTGATTTCCACGAGGAGTAAAACTGCCTCGGCCTCCGTGTGGACTGCCACCTTCACGAGGAGTGAAATTACCACGACCACCACGTGGACTGAAACCTTCACGAGGACTGAAATTACCACGGCCACCACGCGGACTGAAACCTCCTCGCCCTCGGTAATTCTGAGATACAGCGCCACCTCTGTTACCAGAAAAACCTCGGCCACGATCGCCGCCTGAATTAAGAAAAATTAGGATAAAAGATTAAATCTAGCATAAAACCATACCTCCACCTCTCCTGTTGTCCGGTGAGTTGAATCCTCGACCACCTCCACCTCCGCGACCTGAAGTTTTTACCATGCAAGTATCGCCACACAATCGTTAACCCATCAACGATAGATAAAGCAGATTTTCTACCTCTGAATCCACCTCCAGGTGAACCTCCTCTTGGCTTGAAACCTCCTTGCTTCCAAGAATCTCCACTGCTGAAGCCTCCTCGACCTATAAAGTAAACTTTAGACGTAAGATATTAGATGTTGGAGCTTCGATATGTTACCAAGACTGCTCGTAATTCGGAAACTCAATCCCCCAAAGCTGAAAATCTTCCATCCATACGAATCGATTTGCTTTAATAGACTTTTGCGGAATTAGAACACCGACCTCACGACTGGCTCATTCTATATGATGAATATGTCCAGATAATTTTGCAATTCCCAATAGATGCGGGATATGATGCATCTCAGAACACTGATAAACGGCTCATAGTTTAGTCTTTACCAGTAATTTATTGCGGCGACGATTCGAGATCAATTCAGTTTAAATCCGAAGCCAACTCCAGTGGGAACAGAGCGGCTGCCACAAATGCCGCGTTTAGCTGCTCAATAAGTAGAACGGCAAATGAAAAGGAACCTATCAAAGCCGCATGTACTGCTGGGGATATAATCAAATTTGATACATTGCGATTCTTAAAATCCGACTTTCTCAATTTCGATGCTATCTGAGCCGGCTGGACACGCCGATTTTTGAATACAACGGAACTTCGGAATAGAACCATATCGCTCAGACCTCGGTCAGACTCGGCGATTGCGTCGCTGTACACCAGCGACGGAGCGCTGGCGACGGAATCGCCGGCGACGGAGTTGCCCGGCACAAGAGTGGCAGCAACGGGCGATGACTCAGCACACGATCGATATCGGTTGGCAGGGGGAGCAACATGAACGATGGGTGAGGATGATTAATCTCCCCCTGCCAACCTGTGCTGAGTCATCGCCCGTTGCTGCCACTCTTGTGCCGGGCACTCCGTCGCCGGCGGCGGAGTCGCTGGTGTACAGCGACGCAATCGCCGAGTCTGACCGAGGTCTCACTTATCTCCCAAAGCTCCTTGCTTTCCTCACAATGAAAGGAGAAACACTGGGGAAGGGAAACACATTATTTAGGGTAAGCAATATCAGAAATCGGGTGAATACTAGCTGTCAGTGTTACGTGCCAACGTAACACTGACAGCTAGTATTCTGACCCGAGTATTGCTGAGAGTAGTTAGTCGACGACTCAAGGGAGCAGGCTAAAAGGGAAAGATACCTACTGACTAGACGATTAGCCAAGAAAAATTGCGTAACCAATTGCACCGATTCAGCTCACCCTGCCCTCCGTACGTTCGAGGCCACGCTAGAGTCGGCGACTAGAGAGGAAATACGACGCGACCAGAGAGGAAAGGCGACTAGAGCGGAAACACGACTAGAGAGGAAACGCAACCCGAGAGGAAGTGTGATTAGCGTATTTATTTAGTTCTTACCCTCAAAGCGTGCCCCAACCGGAAGGAACACTCGAGGAAACGGATGAAGGCCGAGGTTTTCACGTGCCTGAGAAATAGGGTTGCAAGTACAGGAAGCTTATGTATCATATAGTTGTTTTGTAGGTATATATGCGATGGAAAATTTCGTTTTTTTTTCGTGCTTCCTCCTATTAGCACTTCCTCCCTGGTCGCGTTCCCTTCTAGTCGCGGATTATGACATCGGCCTTATACGTTGATCATCTATTCTCATCGATACGTACCATTATCATTTCGCCTGATCGTCTAATTGCCTGAGTCGTCAATACCTGAGCAACTAAACAATTGAGCCATTGACATAGAACGAGGACGGTGAAGAGGACAGCGAATACGTTTTCAGTGCCGTCGTATAGGAGCTTTCCAACTAGATGAGTTCAGAGAGGATAGTGCTATAGAAAACACTGTATGCGGAGTAAGCTACCAGTCAAACTCGAAAAATTTTGAAGTGGATCTCGCCATTCCGCGGTATGACAATGTTCAGGAGCAAACAGGCTTTCTTCAGCTCCGTAAGTTCACAGCGAATAATATCGCAAAGTTCCTGCAAAACTGGACTGGCTCTGCCTCAAAAAAAGCATATCTCAGTGAGCGATGCAATCGGTGGGCCACAAGACAGTGATCATCACTATTTCGCGGATTAGTCAGCATTAGGCAGCGTCTGGTTCCCCGCAACACTCCAGCCCATTGTTCTTTGTCAGCGAAGCCTTGACGTACAACCCATTCTCATTCATCTTGATACTATCAGAGATCAAGCCCAAGTGTTGAAAACAAGCGAGAAGCTCACCACGGCGTTCGCCCGCTTTCGTAGTCCGACATTCAGCTGATTTGGGATCTACTGATTCATATTTTTATGTAGCTTACCTACACCTCTCAAGAACTTTTCGATCGTTTTAGAGGAAATTTTGAGTGTTGCTGCGATATTCCCACAGGCTCCTTCAAACAGTAAGGCTGCTTTCATAGTTCGCATCGGTGCGGTCGGTGCCGACGGCGCCGACCGCACCGACAGTGTGAAGAGCGTCAATACGCGCTCTGGCGCATGACGCGAACGTTGGGCGCAGATCGCGTGCTCCGATCGATAATCCTGGTTTTGGTGTATTTCTTGTGCTTTTCGATGTTTTTTTTCGCGCCGTGTTGCTTTAATTCGTGTGTTTCCTGTTCATACTTATTCTTTTATGGGCGCAATGTGGCTCGGGGGGGAAGTCGGTGCGCGGCTCAGCGATGTAGTGTAACTCGAACATTCCAGCTTTTCACGGGACATTTCAGCTTCTCACGCATGCTAAGTGACTGCCCTCACCCCCACCCCCCCCTGAATTGGCTACACTCCCCCTGGCTTGCGAATTTCCTGTTGCCGCAACGCCCCGCGCGGCGGCTGCCCCCCCCTCCGAGCCACATTGCGCCCTTTTATGTCTTGATTAATACTTTCCAGTTGTTCCGCGGGCGAGCGACGTCGTGAACCCGTCGCACAACTCCGGGTGGATGTGGCCATACCGGGTGTGTGTTGGTCGTAAGCAATTTTGTTTATTCATATGAAGTGAGTGCAAAAAACATCGAAAAAATACAAGAAATACACCAAAACCAAGATTATCGACCGGAGCGCCCCATCTGCGCCCAGCGCACGCGTCATGCGCCAGAGCGCGTGTTGACGCTCTTCACACTGTCGGTGCGGTCGGCGCCGTCGGCACCGACCGCACCGATGCGAACTATGAAAGCAGCCTAAGATGGTAGGTCGAAGTGGCCGTTCGAAATGAAATGTATACCACCTGATGCGTCTCCAGACGCTGATTCCAAATCTGCTAAACGACTCTCCGAACGGAGTTATGAAGCGTAATAGCTCAGTGGTGATGGTCCGGGGTGGCAGGTAAAAGCTCGTAGGATCGGTTCCTTTGCAAATTGGTTGCTTTGCTTTTGTCTCTAGAAGTGTTGCGGACAAAGCAAAGCAACAAACTTGCAAAGGAACCGATCCTACGAGCTTTACCTGCCACCCCGGACCATCACCACTGAGCTATTACGCTTCATAACTCCGTTCGGAGAGCCGTTTAGCAGATTTGGAAGGCAGATTTGGAATCAGCGTCTAGAGACGCATCAGGTGGTATACATCTCATTTTATACGGCCACTTCGACCTACCATCCTTTCCTTGTGAGATCGTCCTCAACTATTTATGACATAGGCTTCAATTGATGGAGGACTGTCCGTCAGCGTTCGGAAAATCCCCACTTCTCGAAGGTCGAATATAGCGGTATGAGAAACAATCGATCCAATTACTCTCTGATGTCATAATACCACCTCTTTGCAGCACATTTCAGCTAAGTTAGAGGTGTTTGAAGAGAATTTCAAAAACATCAATACCTAATTTATAACACCTCATAATCTGCGACTACCCCAAACTGTATGGCCCGTAGCCTATAGTGCTTGCAGAAACGAGGCAGATGAAGATTTGACAATTTGTTGCGATGAGGCGTACAAATCATGATGGCCTATAGCACTTGCTACTTCAAATAACTAACTAACCTCCTCCACGACCTCTTGCTGGACTGTCAAAACCCATAGTTTCTGAAAATAAAATAATTAATAAACGTACAGGAAAACAAATATGCTTACACAGAAGTTTGAGCAGTAAGATTAAAGCGAACGGATTCCTTGTTTCAGGGTATTCTTTGTGCAAAGTTGTAATCCCGTTGCCAAAGGAACTCTCCCAGAACACTAGAAGCCATTAACCGAATCTAAGCCACTAAACACCTTCCCAATCCTGCTCAGCAGACAGCAACACTTCCCATTTTTCCGCAAACATTCAACACTTTACTACTAAACAATGGAGGAAACTACGCAAACAAACAGTAGAAAAAAGTAACAGCGGCCATGATTCGAAAATGCGACGCGAGGCCTAATCTTTGGCACGACATCTTCTCGACCGTCAGCAAGCGATCGTTGCAGGACCTTGTTACCCGTCGTTCCCATCGTCACCGCAACATCGCTGGCTTTTATGACGCGAGTTGTTATACACATCCTTGAACATGCTCTGAGTATTCTCTGTAGGTCATGTTCTTCTTTCTATTCAATCCTCTCCCTAGAGGAAAGGGCACGAGAAATATTTTGGATTTTCTTTGTTTTCTCAACTGAGATGGACCTAAGAAAGGCTTATTTGCATTGATGTATGGTTGTGAAAGTAGTAAGTACATACTGAAGATACATAGAGGAAGTATATCGCTGAACACGAATAAGCTCAAGGGGTGTTTCGGTGTTATTGCAAGATACGGAGGCGAGGGGGCAGGGAATCCGAGGGTAATGAAAATTTCTCATGCACATAGAATCTCTCCTCCTCCGTTCAAGGCCCAGTTTCGTTTCAAGACATAAGAGGCGTTTTACGCGATTCCAAATGCAGTGCCACTACAATGATTCGTTCCTTGCAATAGCGTCGACTTCATTCCCCTAGCCTCTGCTGGATACGGCCCCTGAACAGTGCGAAACTATTGGACTGATCCATTAATTCTGGGCCGAATTTTCGCCACTTTCATTTCCATTGAGTTTTTTCTTTCCTGGAGAAACTAATTAACAATAAAACCACCATCGCAATCGCTGATATGCATTCATTTGCTAGACAGCGAATGGATGCGTTCCTCTCAAAACGAGTGGAGCTATGGGATGAAGAGTTCGGAGAGGTCGTTTTTTGGGTGGTTGTATTCAGTGACCCCTTTCTCTCGAAGGTACTGCTGCAGGGCATCGAGAAGGGGATAGTGCGATGAAGTAATGTTAGGGCTATACGATAGATGTGGTATCGCGATCCTAGCCAGTTTCCTTCAGAAGGTGGCGAGTTATCTTCGCAATGTAAGGTCGGGCGTTCATCCGGAGGGAGGAGATTTTGAGACGTTTCGAATGGTTCTCTCGCACTGCTGCGGCCAACCTCGGAGTTATTCCATGGTTATCTTCGCAGTGGTTGTCTATATAAGATGAAGCGGTTCTCAAAGTGGGATACCCGACCAATCCTACAAATGGGGGTAATATTCTCTGACGAAAGAGGTCAGGTTTTGGGTGAGATGGTGGGTTCAGGCTGCGAGATAGCCATAAGGCGTGCCGCGTGTTGTTGTCGTAGTGGACTCATGACTCATCTCCACTGGTGACCGACTAGGGAAAGTCCAGGCTATGCCTGCGCAGAATGAAATTTCTGCAGATGGTCAGGTCTGCTTCTCGGTCATGGTCAGAGATGCATGCCGTTCCCATCGAAACTTCACACTGAATTGTTTTCTGCTCTGTAGGCTTTCTCCCAACCGAGTTATGAAATTTTTCATAAAGCACTGCTTTTTTAGAGAACGCCCCGCCCACCGGGGGTGGGTCTCCCTAATTCGATGTGACTTACCAATGCACACCTTTACCCACTTTTTGGCCCAGTTTCGAGGTCGTTTTGTCACTGAAATCGAAATCTTGGTCTTCGGTACAATTCATTTCGACGCACGCCACGCCCTCTGTGGGCGGGGCTCCGCTTAGCTGATGTGTGTTTTGTATTACGTGAGACCCTGCCCACCCATCCCACACTTGACCCGGTCCCTCCAGGTGGATCCCGAGGAGCTAGGGAATTTCGTGACAGACATACAGAACGACACACGACACACGACACACGACACACGACACACGACACACGACACACGACAGACGAAGCGCTTTATAGTAAGTAGGATATATTTGGGATCGGCTAAGTGGTTTCTAAGCGTAGCGTACTCCGTTGATAGAAGCAGGCTTATCCGCGCAACTTCTATCAAGTGCGGTGGACGCCACGTGATGCCCAGAGCTACGCTTCAACATATAGAGCATATATACTCGATATCGGTGAGTTGGGGTAGGCGTGTCACCGGAAGTGACGTGCACTTGATAGAAGCTATGTGGATAAGCTGCTTCCAACATACATCGCTGGATATCAGCAAAGCATGCTGGCAACAGCTTATCCACGCACTTCTATCAAGTGCACGTCACTTCCGGTGACACGCCTCACCCCAACTTTCGGATATCGGCTGTACCTACCAGGGCGAATTTCCAAAATCTATATGAGCGAAGCTTGAATCCCTCTCAACGGACCTCACTCGCTTCTTTCGTCTGGAACATCCTCGAGACGAAGGATACGCTAAACTAGGCCGTACCGGGACCCTGGTTTATTAAGGAATTAATGCAGAAGGCATGGTGTTTGTTGAATACCGATCTCCCTCCTAGTCACGGTCAACGCGTCTTCCAAGAATCTTCGTTTGAGCCCGTGTCTAATGAGTTGGCGAAGATCGTTTCAGCTGAATGTAGTGGTTTTATTGAGCTTTTTCTGTAGAAGTATCCACAGAAACAAGTCTGTTTCGTTGCGAGCTCAAGTCACGTTTTTGCGCGCCATTTATTATTTTCCGTAATTTTGTTCAATTCTGTGCAGTATTTTGTTGTGGTGCTTGCTGGAACGCTCCATGGCCGATGTCAGACTCTGCGATTGGAGCGATCGGTCAAATGCCAATCGCGCGACCATCGCGCGATTCGCGCGATTGACATGAGTCCCATCATGACCAATCGCTCCAATCGCGCGATGGGCGCGATCACTCCCGTTGTGGCTGGCGCGCCCCCCTCGATCGATACGTTGACTGAGGTATCGATCGAGAGGGGCGCGCCAGCCACAACGGGAGTGATCGCGCCCATCGCGCGATTGGAGCGATTGGTCATGATGGGACTCATGTCAATCGCGCGATCGTCGCGCGAATCGCGCGATGGTCGCGCGATTGGCATTTGACCGATCGCTCCAATCGCAGAGTCTGACATCGGCCAATCGCATCTTTCACGCTCCCGTCCACGCCTCATTCAAAATCTCAAACAAATGTCAACAAATGGAACGCTTTTTGTTGGAGATTTTAACGAACGCATCGTTTTGTACTCCTTCTGACTAGTAAAGGACGCCATTCGTTACGGGTCCCACTGCCTCCTGCTACAGTGAACCCTTCAATGTGGAGCGGGGAATCCGTGAGCCAGGGGCAGTGTCGCCAGTCTAGGGGGTGGGGCAGGGTCAAGCGAGGCGTTGAGGAAAATTTGGAAATACGACCCCCCCCCCCACCACCCTCCGCCGGAGGCCGAAGTCCATGAAACAACCCTCTTCAAAAGCCGAACTATGAAAAGGTTGAAAAGCTTGTTTAATTCTCCCCCAAAACTGCTCATAAAAAAGCCCTGCTACCCCACCGCCCACAAAAAATTCGTTTAAGAAGTACAAAAGTGAAAAAGTCAAAGAATAATCATTATTGATGAGTCCTACCAAACGAGCAAACGAGAAACAGACCAGAAAACGACAAACTAGCCACTAAAAATGGCATACTATGACAACATCTCTTCTTTATTTATTTCCTTCACAAGACTTACCAAATTCTAGTACTACACAGATCATGGTTCTCAATTTAACGTCCCCCTTTCAATTGATAAAAGCCTTGTAACCGCCTTAGCCAGCTGTGTGCTGACTGATCTTTGGCGTTGACCGTGGAGCAGCTTATGTACTATTGAAATTTGAACAAATATTCAAATGATTATAACTTTCTTCAAAGTGACGAATTTTCAATCTGAAAGCAGATTTGGGAGTTTTGTGAAGAGCTCTTTCTAATCAGTATTGAAATTACAAAAAGTTATAAGAAATAACAAATTTAGATCAAATTAACGAGGAAAATTCGAGATGAGCACGAGTTTTTACACTTTCCGAAGCAATAACTTGCTTCATTTCGTCAAATTCGAAAAGTTAATATGGCAGACAAAACTAGAAGATTTTCTCTATCAAACGGTTGCTAAAGCAGCTTCTATACGTCCAGTATTCAAAAAATGGCCACGTTGAGGATTTTTGCAAAATTAACGAGGAAAATTTGTGATGAGTGCGAGTTTTTTTACTTCCTAAAGCCATAACTCCGTTCAACTCATCCAATCCGAAAAGTAAATACGCCATCATAAACTAGAAGATTTGCTCTATCAAATGCTTACTAGAACTGCTCCAAACGTCCAGTATTAAAAAAACGGCTACGTTGAGGATTTTGCACGAGTACCGCCGAAAGGTACTTTTTCGCTACATTGGCACTATTTCAACGGCTGTATATCCTTTTAAGGGCGATTATGTACTAAAGTAAGAGCAGATTTGGAATCACTGCTTTTCTCTTTCTAAGAAAAGTGATTGATTAGCGTTTCTCAACTTTAAAGGTTACATGTTTATAAATTTAACCCTGAAGAGTCCGTTAACGCAATGTTGAATGGTGTACACCTCCCTGTAAATGCGCACGGACACTTTCAGAATTCTCTCGATTGTTCCTGAATTGAGGTTGTTTGTCCAAGGAGCCGTAGTTGAAGCGCGCGCAACAACTAGACCCTTTCTCGGATGCGCCGTGTACCTCACATCCCTTCAGATTCGGGGTCTTACTTGAAAGATGAAATATCTCTTGGAAAGCGTGCGAAATTCAGATTCTTTAACTTGTGTGGTGATAAAACACTGAAGTAACTAAGAATTACCGGACGCCTCAGAATCACGAAAATTTTGTGTGGGTGAAATATCATTTTCATTGGAAATCCTCTGGCCTGGCATCGACTCATCCTTGATATTTGTCTTCCGACGGTGATGATCCCACTGCATCAAAATGGCTCGATCTCTTCCACCCAGCGGGCCAATACGACCCCCCCCCCCCTGCGACGTGTCGAGGATTCCTCAACGCACGCTTGACCCTGGTGGGGGGTGAGGGCAGACACTTGACATGCGTGAGAAGCTGGAATGTTCGAATTCAACCGCGATCACATGGGATCCCCGCGGGTTAAGGCAGTGGGTCCCGCAACGAATGGCGCCCTATACTAGTCAGTAGGAGTACAAAATGATCACTCCGAATCTTACTGGAAGGTTTACCCTGCTTTTCACCCAGTGCAGAGCAGTCACGTGTAAGGCTAGTATCAGAGTCCGTGATCCGTCGCGCGATTCGCGCGAATCACAAATCCGCAAGTACCTTACTTGAACACTTGAACATTTGAAACTGTGAATATGATAACGAGAAAATTATGAAGAGTCGTCATTCAACCATCACCATCAAGCAGGAAATGGCGGCGGGATTGGGGAGTATCTCGCAGTATGATCGGGGCACTTGTAATTTCTGTGATGGACTCTGACATCAGCCTAACCACGCATTGTTGTCATTCATTCATGTCATTTATCTCTTGCCGATGCAAGCTATAGAATTACTGTTGAATATTCCGCCATGGCATCGCTGTGAATGTGATTTTGTGAGGAGTATGAATACAGCAGTGCGACACATGAATTCTACAGTCTTTATTTATTTTTTAGGTCACAAATGAACATACGCTGTGCTCGACCGGAGGATTTAATAAACACACAACATGCCAACCTTCTGTGCCTTCCAGAAAATTACCAGATGAAGTACTAAGCTTTCTATCACGAGTACACTTTCTTGGCCACAGCCTCTCGTATTGTGCTGATGACGCATACCAGGTATATTCATAGGAGATGTTCCGAAATTAACTCAACTCAAGGCCGTGCATCAAGTTCTTTTAGTATTCTGCTGTCCCTGAGCCTCATCAGGACCTAAATGTTGTAACTCAAAGAGGCATCAAAATATTTTTTCAATAGGATTCCAAAAGTTCTCAAAAATTCCATGTCTTCGGAAAAGTTGCGAAAATTTCGAGAAACAGAACGAATATGCTCGGAGCCTAGAAACTGTTCGAGACGGATTCCTTTGAAATCTTCCGCAATATTTCGGTGTATAAACCTTCGTCAAGCATGTGTATGCCTCAGTCAAATATAAAGGTGCCCTTACAGGAGCCGCGCCGTTGGAGTAGAATTGATTCAGTTAGATAGAGGATGTTGGATGGGATGTGGTTCGCTAGGAGAGAAAGCAATTTTTCGTTTTTTTTTCGCTTTTAGTAGGCGCGAGACATCGCGATCGCCCATTGCTCGGCTGTTGCTTGGCAGTCGCTCTGCCAAAGTGCAAGCGACGGGCGTTGACTCCGCCTGCGATCGACACCGGTGTTGACGGCCAAGACGCTCCATCAGCCCAGCGCTCCGGCAACAATCGCCGAGTCTGACGGACATCTTCTGTGCCCTGGCCCTGCCAACGCACATGTGCGACACCAGCACACCACCGTGTGGACAAATCGCAAGAACCGCGATTAGCGAATCGGCGAGTCCTGACACACTTCTATGTAGAGTCGCGGAGAGGGGCCACCTGTCGGCAATCGGCCAATCCGCAAGAGGGCGTCATGTTTTTGAGTTTCCTGGGGAGGCGCTCGACCGTTTTGACCACCGAGCGCACACCGCCTTCACGAAGGAACGTGAAGTGTACAAATCCGGCAGGGATTGTCGTCATTAGAGACCATAATATTTCGACATTTTTTATTGGAAGGGACCACGCAAATAACAAATCTCTTCCCTTCACAATATGCTGTTACTGGACGATTTTCCGCCTTTGCTTACCATTTACCTAATACGTTCTCCTTGTTTTGTTGCCCTCTACTTTTGCCACTTACATGAGCATACAACAATAAAAATAAATGAATCTTCGCCCCTCCCTCTCTCGCTGGCTGTTTCGAGGGAGTTTTTGAAGGGAAAATATAGGCGGACTTGCAACATGTCTAATGGTCTCATGGTGTGGTTCGCTAGGACAGAACACGACTTTTTCGCTTTTCGCAGCGCGAAGTTTTTTCGCTGTGGGAACCCCCATATCCCCACCGCCAAACCCATTACATCGAAAAGATTCATTTATCCCTCTTTTATATGCACATCGCTCATCCCGTAAGTGCGTCAACGGTAAGCGGCAGCCTAGCTGCTCCACTCACCATCCAACGATGCGATCCGAAACGCGCAGGATGAATGGGCCCAGGTGAAGGGAGGTGCCAAATGTTGGAGGAGGGGGGTCATATTCCAGGCTCCTGGGCATATAGGACAAGGCGCCAGCCAAATTTCTGGAGAAGAGGAAACGCTGGACGATTGGCTCTGCATTGCGAGTATCGCTTGATGCCTTGCCCCCCAATAATAAGCAGATCTTGTTCAGCCCACCCATCGGCGTAGACTGTATACGTATTCACTACACGATCTTGCAATTTCTTCCATCGCAGGATTGCATGGTTTCCTTGTGAAGTGACTTCTGGGTTTTTAACACATTGACGACAACACAACGGGGGATATATATCCCGCGCATTGCAGGCCATGTCGGACCGTGCGGGATATATATCCCCCGCACCCATTACACTCATTTTTTTCGCGCACGCCTGATTCTTTTAGAAGTTTCTTGTATTCATTCCATGGAAGAGACCTTGACGTAGCTACAAACATAGTGGCCCTTAGAATGGTCACGTATACTTTAATTTAGAGGAGGATTTCTGAACCATACGAAATCTTCAGTTCAATAAATTTTTCGTTTACTTTTTCTTTTTATGAATGTGAAGATTTAAATAGTAGTAGAAGTAGATACGGAACCTTAGGGATGACAATATGTGTGTTTTGATTGGAATAATCAACGTAAAATTGCTTTTGAGGTCCATTGCAGCTAGTTCTGAAAAATTTCGCTTTTTCATTGTTATTCCATGTCTTTCGATCGAAATTCCACTACTGTACCCCTGGTTAGGTTGTGCTCATTACAATTTACTGATTTGGTTTTGAATTGATCATTAGTTGTGTATTTATCACTCAAAATCTGCTTGAACGACCTGAGGCGAGCGCGCCCGCAAATCGCCGCGGTCCCACGTGGCCAAAAAAGCCAAAACTCGCGTTGTCGTCAACGTGTTAAGATACCAACTTGAAACAGTGCTTTATTAATTTTCGGCAAACTGCCTCGCTATTTAGGGCAATGTGGTTGGATATGTTCTTGCAAAAATGGAGGAAGATCCTGATGAGGAACCGCATGGACACATTACCTCTCTTGCAGTTAAACGATCATATAGAAGGCTTGGTATTAATATTTTGTTTTATACTTCATTTTAATTTCGTACTTTCTTGTTGATTCTACTTCTGCTGCCTTGAATTTACTCTTTTGTTTAGGACTAGCTCAAAAACTCATGGACCAAACAGCCAGAGCAATGATTGAGACGTTTAACGCCCGCTATGTTTCATTACACGTGCGAGTGAGCAACAGAGCAGCGTTGAACCTTTACCAGAATACTCTGAAGTTCACGGCTAGTGAGGTGGAACCGAAGTAAGTTCCTTATGCCTTGCGTTTATTCTAAATTGGCTTCATTCTCTTATCTATAAGGCGATGCTTGAGTTCAGGTACTACGCTGACGGTGAGGACGCATATGCAATGAAGCGGTGTTTAGTCCAGTTTGCGACCGAGAATAACATTGAGCCAGCCGATAAAGAGAGCTTCTTTGCCGTCAAGTCTAATGATGATAAGAAAAAGAGTAGGCAGTAAGAAACAAGATTCAAAACCTGTGCTTGTTCATGTCGATCTCTTCTGTTCTTCGTTTGTTATGCCATGTTTCAGTTTTCTCGATAGATTGTTCTTAAGTCGCTTCTGTTGCTGCCTTACAATGATATACTTGTTCGCTACCTTTTAGACAAATAAAAATATTCTGTGCAGTTATGAGCTTTATCCTACATGTTACTTCAGAATGATACTTTTCCATTTCACTGGGTCTTCTCTTCTACCCCTTTATTGCAGAAGGAGTCGAGCAAGTCTGAGACTAGCACATTCCCTAGCGCAGCAGCACATACATTAAGGTGTGTAAATCAAAATGGCTGCTGGATCGCTACCTCCGTACGAATCTTTTGAAAACCCTATTCCATTGGAGAATGAGTGAGTTTTGGCACTCCTCTTAAACACATATCAGAAGAGTTTACTTCCAGTCCAAAACAGTCTTATCATTCCTGCTCAACCGCTACTGATCTTTCGCAGGAGCTCGACCCTCATGTCACAGCCGCTGCAGCAGAGTCTAGTTATCTTCTATTCTTTCAGGTTTGCAATGCTTTCAACATCGAGTGTATTGATGCCATCCAGTTTACTTTATTGTTGCTGCGATAGCTAGTGTTGTACGATGATTCTCTTCGTTGTAAAATTTGACCCAGATCCTTCATATAGAAATTACGCATCTTCAAATTTAAGCCGTGGGCTGCAACTCCAACCACCATTTTGTTGACCTCTTTTTATCTAGAACACTCATGAACAGTGATGAATGATGTTGATAGGGTTGTGCTCCTGAATGGTAAAGCAATTCCATGGCTAATGAGTTCAATGGGAGAAAAAATTACCTTTCTATCATAGCTAGTTTCGGACCATGATTTAAGAATGTAAAATTGAGATAAACTCAATTATTCGGCTTTTTTTCAAAAATAATGCTTTGCTTAAATGTATTTGTCAAGCTCTCTTTTCAGGTAGTATTCCCTTTCACCATTGCTGGTGTTGGGATGGTATTTGCGGGTGTTGTTCTCGACCTGGTGCAACACTGGCGGCTTTTCAAGGAAGTTCCTGAAATTTTCATACTCGTTCCTGCTCTCTTAGGTTTGAAAGGAAATCTGGAAATGACTTTAGCGAGTCGGCTGTCAACATTGGTACGTGGAACATTTTCTGTCAAGAAATTTTCCTTCTTTTTTTAACAGTATTTGCTAGTTCGAAGTAATAACCGATTTCGGGCGTAACCATTTGTTTACGCATTATCTACAGCTACATATTCAGTCCATAAATACGACCATTATCCTTTTGTTTCTCAATTAATTTTCCTCGGTTACCATAACTTATCATCCCCACGAACGAACGCTGTAAATTTCTCTTTCGGTCGTTTGCTGGCCAAAGGGCCTGCTCCTAGCAAATTTCGAAGTGATTTTTGTGTGAGGGCGGAAACTAGATCGGTGCCTAATGAGATAGTGTGATGGAGAGGGAACACTACCAGCTACCATTTACAAGGCGATCGTCAGTAATCTTTTTCAGATTCAGTTCACAATTTTGAAGTGTTACTTATGTTTGCGAAAATTTGTAGGCCAATCTCGGACACTTGGATTCGCCATCGCAACGAAGAGATGTTGTAACTGCAAACTTGGCTTTGATACAAGTTCAAGCCACTGTTATCGCCTTCCTAGCGTCAGCATTTGCAATAGCTCTTGCGTGGATCCCACGTGGACAGGTTATTTTATTCTCATCATTCTTACTGCCCTCTAAAATTCTATTAAAATAAATATTTGGTTTTGAATATACAGGGTGGCTACTAAATATTGGCATGGTTTATTGATCATATTTCCAAAAGAGAAGCTATCATATCTTCAGAAGTTTATTTTCATATACAATAAAACATGAAAATTCATTACCAAAGAAAGTGCTCGAGATGGCCTCCTTTGGTAGCGATACAGGCTTGAAGTCTCTTTTCAACTGACATCACCGTGGGCCGCAAGTAGCCGACGTCGGCGTGATGTGAGTAGATCTTCAGACCAGAAGTGGCGCACGATTTGCAAAACGACAGGCAGTTGTTGGATCTGGCTAGCAGACATTCTGCTCGACCTTGTGTACACACAAGGAACCGTTTTTCAAATTTGTCATGGTTTGGGCAGGAATTACTTCTGAAACCATGACACCGCTTGTCTTTGTGGATGAATACATCAAAGCCAGCGCCCAGATCTACCCGGAAACAATTTTCACGTAATGCCCTTCTTCCAAGGACTCTTTTGACCTTCAGCGAACGTCATTGCATTCTTCAGCAAGACAGGGCGCCTCCACATGCCGCAAAATCAATGTAGAAAGCCACACGAGTAGTCTACTTAGAACTTCTTACAGGACCGAGCACCCAAGAATAAAGCAAAAATTCTCCAAAAAGCGATTTTTCGAGTTCGTTGCTTTCGAAGAATTGTTACAATGGAACCTCCACCTAATAGCTCTAGATTTCTGTATTTTACACCCTGGATGCAAGCGCAAATAAATGCCCACAAAAGTTTGATTCCCTGAAGAAGGCAGAGCAGAAGGCCTGGAAACATTTGGACACGCCTTAGTTGCGTGCCACCGCACGCGCCATCCCCCTCATCTGAAGGCTCGTGTTAACGGGGCAGTGGCAGATCTCAATTCTATTCTGGAATTACTTTGAGGTAAGAGTTACAAATACTTCCCTGAAGTTGGTTTGTTCCATCAAGCTACTATGCGTTTTTAACGACACAATGTCTTGGTCCTCATAATTTTGGACCACCCTGTATATAAAGACAAACCTCTGAAGATGTAAAAGCTTCTCGTTTTAAAAATATGGTCAACAATTCCATGCGCCAATATTTAGTAGCCACCCTGTATGCACTATTTGATTTTTAGCTGGACTGGTCTCATGCTGCACTCCTCTGCGCTTCATCTCTAGCTACAGCGTGCTTCGCATCGCTCATTCTGAGTGTAATTATGGCACTGGTCGTCATACTTTCCAGAAACTACAACATTAACCCAGACAACGTAGCCACACCTATTGCTGCTTCCCTTGGTGATCACTTCGTTTCTGTCTCCGAAATCTGTCTGAATGATAGATTAGTTTATTTTCAGGTGATCTTACAACATTGGCTGTTTTATCGATGTTCGGCAGTGTATTTCTTGATGCTCACCTCACAGAGTCATGGCTAAATTTGACTATCATAATAGTCATTTTGTTAATAGCTCCTGTTTGGGTCCGCCTCGCCATGCGTGATGACGGGGCGAAGGAGGTGATTAGATTTGGAATTCGTTGTCTCGTTGTTTCTTGATCCATTCCCACAAAAGGTTTTCGTCTGTTTTTTTTTGTATTTTATTCATTCTTAGTTTTGCATTTTTTCATCGTACTATTGTACTACTGTTTTCTTTTGCCATTTTTAGACGCATGCTGCTTTTTTCTTCCTTACGGGGAGATATTCAATCCTTCCCCAGGGGATGTATCCCCCTACTCTGATTCAATCCTCTGGGGGGACAAAAAAGGGTTGCGTCATAGGACCTAGCATACCTCTGTGTTTCTACCTGCCAGACAGTTAGAGCAGCGCGACCCCTCAGGGAAAAGAGTGCTTCATCAGTGGAGGGTAGTCGCGCTGCTCTAACTGTCTGGCAGGTAGAAACACAGAGGTATGCTAGGTCCTATGACGCAACCCTTTTTTGTCCCCCCAGAGGATTGAATCAGAGGAGGGGGATACATCCCCCTGGGGGAGAATTGAATACCGCCCATGCTCTTTCCATGTAGTTGTTCTTGGCTTCTTTTCAATAAGTGGCTGTTTCTTCCTCCTTGTTCTGAACTCTCTTCTACACTCCTGATCCCTCTGTGAGACATTTGGTCAAATTCACAAATCTCTGGGAGTTGGAAAGCAAAAAATATCCGTAGGTGTGTGGAAACTTTAAAACTGGATTAATCTACATCAATTTTAGGTTTTATCCAATGGATGGTCCCCAATTATTTTCTCCATGCTTATGAGCAGTGGAGGTGGTTTCATTTTGGAGAACGCTGTACGTCAATATCCCAACGTTGCTATATTCCAACCAGTGATCAACGGTATTTTGCCTCAGTGTCAACGTTATTGAGTTTGAGAATGATTTTGCAATTTCAGGCGTTGGAGGAAATTTAGCGGCTGTTCAAGCAAGCCGACTTTCCACATTTTTCCATCAGACAGGATCGCTTGGCCAGTTACCTTATGAGTGGGGAATCCAACGGTTCTACAGCGCGAAGCGTGCTTTCTTCAGTAAAGGTTAGTTTGAAGCTTTTTCGAAATTTTCTTTTTCTACTATCTTTTTGCCCTTGTGAGTGCTATATTTTATAGAAGGCGAAGTACCCGTATTCTCATATTTCAAATTCACTATTGTTTGTCAGTTTACGCTGAAATTATTTTCTATGGAAACGTAGAGGCGAGCTCATGTTCGTGAAAGTGACGCAAGAGGGATTATGAAGTAGATGGCTGCGTCTGTTCCTAGTTGTCTTCCAGTTTCTTCGGTTTTGACAATCTAACTCAATCAGTGATATACTGATCTTAGAACTCACGACTTTCCTCGAGTTGTCGGGTCCCTCTCCTCCAGCAAACCAGAAGCTTGGGAATTCTTCTTGAACCCGGCCTTAATGACAAAAATTTCGGTCGAATTGGTGTCCATGAAAGAGAAGTATAGGTAATGGAGAGACTAGAACAAGGCCCTATTAGGCGATGGTGGCCTTTCGTGGCAGAAGGCAGGCATCAACAGCGCGATAACTTGCTGAACATGTTTCAAAGCCGCTCTGGCTCTCAAAAGTGCCCATCGCGAGAAAGTGGGTAAGTAAGGCCAGCAACTGCTTGTCTATCGCCGTTTTCATGATACCAGTACTGAGCTTCACTAGAGCTGCTGCATTTAGCGCGAAGAGGGTCCCGTTTTTTCACCACTCGATTGTAGTAGAGAATATTTG